TCAAAAGAATTATCGCAAGGATCTTTTGGATTACGTACTCTGTGCCAGCTGTGGAGATGTGCTCGCTGAGATCAGATGCGGGGATGATCATCTCGGCCTTGCTGACATTGTAGTCCTCGAGGAAAATGACCTTGAGAAGATCGCCAATATCTTCGTCCACGTTGACAACGGCGCCAACGTTGTTGACCAGATGAATGATCTGCTTTGCCATCCAGTAACCGGGTGCAGCCTTGCCACCAAAGATGGATACACGCGGCTGCTGTTTCTTGCGCTCCTCTGGCGTCATGGCCTTGAGGGTGAGGTAGCGATGAATGACACCAAAGATGTTCATCTGCTGGCGCTTGTACTCGTGGATACGCTTAACCTGTACGTCAAAGAGTGCCGCCGGGTTGACGCTGACACCAGTGGTTGACTTGATGTACTTGGCTAGGCGAACCTTGTTGGCGTATTTGATCTCAGCCCACTCCTTGCGGAATTCTTTGTCGTTCACAAATTGCTCCAGTTTGTTGAGTTGGGTCAAATCTTTGAGATACTCGTTGCTGCCCGTGCGAGCCGCAATCAAGTCAGACAGGCGAGGGTTGGCCTGGTGGAGCCAGCGCCGGGGCGTGATTGCATTCGTGACGTTCGTGAACTTGTCTGGGCCGTAAATGTTGACGAAATCCTTGAAGATAGTCGTCTTGATGAGATCGGAGTGCAGTTCAGCCACGCCGTTGACCTTGTGAGAGCCGACAACAGCAAGATACGCCATGCGAACCATCTTGGGCTGTGATTCTTCTATGATGGACACCCTGCTGAGGAGTTCGCGGTCGCCAGGGAACTTCTTCTCGACAGCCTGGAGGAAATACAGGTTGATGTCGTATATGATCTGCAGGTGTCGGGGCAGGAGATTCTGAATGAGGCCGACGGACCACTTCTCCAGAGCCTCAGGCAGCACGGTGTGGTTGGTGTAGCCGAAAGTGGCCGTGACGATGTCCCAGGCCTCATCCCATTCGAGCTTCTCCAGGTCAATCAGGATGCGCTGCAGCTCAACGATGGCTAGGGTGGGGTGCGTGTCGTTGAGTTGAATGGCGACTTGATCGGGGAACTCCTTCCAAGCACGCTTCGTCTTCTTGAAGCGACGGACAATGTCGTAGAGAGATGCAGCAACCCAGAAGTATTGCTGCTTCAGACGCAACTCTTTGCCCCTCTCCAGGTTATCGTTGGGGTACAGGACGGCACTGATCGTTTCGGCTCGCTGCTGGTCGGCGACGGAGCTTTCGTAGTCACCGCTGTTGAACTTTTGGAAATCGAACTCGCCGCTGGCAGCCTTGCTCGACCACAGCCGCAGGTTATTGGTGGACGGAGTCGCATAGCCAGGGATGGGCACATCATAGGCAACAGCCTGGACTGTCTCGCCGCCCTCCCAGTGAGCAATCGATTTGCCGTTCTCGTCGCTTGACTTGTTGACATGGCCGTAGAATTGAATCTTTGCTAGAGTCAGTACAACGAGAACGAGTTGAAAAGGTGCAGGCTAGAACGGTGATAGGTGGGATGGGAGGCAATCTTACATCGACAGTGACGTCGTGGCGGGGGAATTCCCAAGGGTTGAAGTCAAGCCAGTAATCGGGAACCTCGACCTGATACCCATCGATGATCTCCTGCTTGAAGATACCGTAGCGGTAGCGCAGACCGTAACCCCAGGCGGGGTAGTTGAGTGAGGCCAGACTGTCGAGGAAGCAAGCAGCCAAACGACCAAGACCTCCGTTTCCGAGAGCAGCATCGTGCTCTTGCTCGATGATGTCTTCTATGCGGAAACCAAGATCGCTGAGACCGGCTGGGGTGGAAACTCGGTCAGATCATTCATAATGTGACAAGGCTCATCAGCCCACTTACACTTGGCAATGTCCTTCATCCCCACATTGAGCATGGCGTTGTCGAGAGCACGACCCATGAGGAACTCAAGAGAAAGATAGTACACCCGTTTGGCGTCGGTCAATGTCTGGCGCTGCTGGGTTTTGTTCCATTGAGTGATGAGGCGATCGCGGAAAGTCAGGCCGGTAGCGGAGTAGGCAGCCGTCTCATCACAGTTGAACATGCTACGGGCCAGAGACGTCTCGACATGGCGAACGACCTCGCGCTGGAAATCATCCTTGTTCGCGAAGCCCTTAGGCTGGTTCCTTGCCCAGGCCTCTCGCTGAGGCTCAGGTATGGAGGCTAGAAAGAAAGGTAGACGTTAGTCTGGGGTATGCTGTGGTGTGGCCTGGTGATGACAGCGGTTGGTGACGACGAGGGTGAGAGGGGTGGGGGGCTTGGGCTAGCGAAATCATGATATGAGGACAGGGGTGCACTTGTCGATCCGAGTGCGGGGTAGGTCGGACCTGGGATCCCCTCGCCCTCCAAGCTTCACGGCCCCAGGACCTCAGGCCCCGCCAGAGCTCGCCCAGCTGGCTTGGCGCATTTCGCAATATTGATGCAGGGAGGAGGGATATGAATGAGGATTGTGTCTGCTTACCCTCAACGCTCTTGATCTCGCCGGCACGAAGCGGTGCCCTTGCTTGTGTTCGGACGAGAGATACTGCGGGCCCCAAGACCCCGAAAGTCGACGAGGGGGCCCGGTCGAGGGCGCGCTCACGGAGCGCAATCTCTCCGCAGTGTTG